GAACACTACATCAAAAACTAATGATGTAATGTATGGTGATTAACATAACAATAAAAAATTATTAAGAAAAAAAAAAAGAAAAACAGAAGCTCAGATCGGTTACGTGACAGCTGGTATATGGCATGACCTTAATGCTTTTAGTACACGAAGGACTTAACATGCAGCAGCAGCTCATGGAGGATGGCTGAGCCATCCTGCCCACTGTGCACACCTGCTCCTGGCTCTGCAGAGCTGGGCTTGTGAAGCCACTTGGTGCTCCTGTCCTGCCAATGGTGGCACACAGCAGAAGCATGCGTGAGCTGCTTTAGCACACAGGGCCCTACTCCTCCCTATACTCCCTCGGTGTGAGTCACGTCCTGGGCCCTACAGCTACCCTGGGGGAAGCGCAGGGGCTGTGGTTATGTAGGCCCAAGGTGAAGGAAGGGTGCATGCTATGTGGCTCACTTGGATTAGGTATTCAGACTCTTTTGGAAACACAGTTCTAGAAGTACATTTATTACATACAATTCTTTTTTTCTAATCTTGTTTACTTTGGTGTCTCTAACTTCTAATGAATGATGACATTAAAAAGAGCCCCCCATCTCAGTTTACCCTTGCAAATACACCAAGCGCTTCCACATGCATCACACCTCCTTTGCTCCCAGCTGACGGAGACCATGGATATGCTCTCCTGGTTTGATCTTCTGTAACTCAATACCATAGCTACATTGCACATTTCATAGGATCATCGCTGATGGCAGCTACTGAGCGTCCCACTGTCCTGAGCTGGAGCATGCAGAGCCATTCCCCAAGTGTGTACTTGGAGGGTCTCAATTTTATGCCTTGAAGAGTAGTAGTAAAATTGATGTGTAGACATCATTTTTCCTTCCTTGCAGTATTTCCTTAGCCTCCCTAGCCCTTAGAGTGACCTCTGATATCTGGAGACTGTGGCACTGCAAGCCTATGACTAGGCCATTCCTTTAAGCCCAGAAGGCGACTGACAAATGGGGAAGCCAAGCAGACTCTGTGGCCTCTTTGTCATGTCCATGCTTCATTCATTTGTTTAAAAGCTTGCAGAATGCCTCTCCTGGCTGAGCAAGAAGATATAGAGATGGAGGGGCCACACATGGTTCTTGCTCTAACAGAAAGAGCCCTTTCTGGTGTGGAAGACAGGCCTGTAAGAATCAATTATAAGAGAATGTAACAAATGCCAGAGCAGTCTATACAGAAAGACGATGAGGACACAGACAGCACTGGCTTCAGCAAAGGGATGGGATAGGCTAGGTTTTGCCTTGTTCAAGATAAGGAGTGGGAACAGAGGCACAGCAAATGGTACCATGAGCTAGGAGGGCGCTGGAGCTTCTGACCTCTGTGGATGTTTGTCTGGGCTGTCTTCCTAAGATGCTTGGTCCCACCTTTTTTTTTGCTTGTTTTTTTTTTTTAATAATTTTTTTTTATTGTTATGTTAACCACCATACATTACATCATTAGTTTTTGATGTAGTGTTCCATGATTCATTGTTTGTGCATAACACCCAGTGCTCCACGCAGAATGTGCCCTCTTTAATACCCATCACCAGGCTAACCCATCCCCCCACCCCCCTCCCCTCTAGAACCCTCAGTTTGTTTTTCCAGAGTCCATCGTCTCTAATGGTTCGTCTTTTTTGCTTGTTTTAATGAGGACCACAAAGTGTCCAAAGTTCCTGGGAATTCTGTGACTACAGAATAAAGTGGAACCGATCACAAAACCCAGGCCTGTGCCCGGAACACAGCTGGAAGAGTACCTTATTAAATCCTTCTCTATCCTGTGCTCATTTCAGCAGCACATATACTAAATACTCCTCCGTCCTGCCTGCCTGCCTCACCTTCTACAGCTTCCCGGCATTAGCAGGCTGAAGCCTGAACTTCTGGACCAGACATCATCTCCAGTTTCCTTTCACCCACATCCTAACCACAGAAGTCCAGGAGCTCTTCCCCAAAGACACCATGGGTGTGGACAGTAAATTCACCGGGCCCTGGCTCCACCAGCCAGAACGCCCTCCAGCTTTACCCAACACACACACACCCACCCTCAACCTCCAAGCCTCATACAACGTGACTGCCGCTGGGGGACCTTGCCCGACCCTACGGCTCCAGCTAGAATCTCATGCTCCCTCCTCCTTCATTACAGTAGTTACCATACTGGTTTATAGTGAGGGGATGGCAGACAGAGTAAGGATGAAGAAGAAATAGATAACACATCTTGTGAAATAGCAAAGCACTGTGCTAATACTACCTAGATTAAAGAAATGATTGCTTTCTTGGTAGTATGTAAATATTTGACACATAGCCAAGATTTATAAGTCACAGAAACAGTGTCTTGACGACTCCTTTTGATTCTAATAATCTGACAAACTGGTTTGCTTATTTATATCACTACCCCACTCAGAAAAGTGGAGTTCATGTTTTGAAACCTACAAATCAACAGAAAATGTTCTCTCTCCAATAATCCTCCAACCCCCATTTGGTTCAGGATGTTGGACCATGATGTGCACCTATAACCTAGGGTTACTTACCAGAGGCTTTGTCGCCACAGACCACACAGTACTCTACCACCTGCGGCCGCTGGACGTCGGCCTTACCCAGCAAGCGCTCCACAGAAGCAGAATCCGTGACGATCTAAGAAGAATCAGGAAACAAGCAAAGTGCTGATTAAAAACCAGATCATTAAACAAACTAATGTTTAACTATAAATTCCTAATCTTGGGTTTCTAAGCAGGAAAACCCTGGGCAGAACTGGGAAAATCCCACCTGACAACTTAACCTGATATCAAGAATGGCCCTGTTGCTCACCTAGACAGTGCCCCTTCAGTGGTGATGGTAGTGGGGTGGGGGTGGGGGTTTGTCCAAGGTCAGGCACTGGTTTTTACTCACTCTCCTATCTGGCTAGCAAATTGCCCAGGATGGGGGGCCATGTGGAGAATCACATGCAGATGCTCCGACATGAACATACTGCAGGTCTTTCTGGCTCCTTCTCTATTCCCATGAAACAGCTTGGAATGTATGCCGAGAGGCATATTTGTCAGAGAAAGAATGAAGCTTTTTTTTTTTTTCAAGATTTTTTTATTTATTTGAGAGAGAGAGAGAGAGCGAGCAAGCAAAAGCATGAGCAAGGGGGAGGGGCAGAGGGAGAAGCAGGCTCCCTGCTCAGTAGGTAGCCCGATGTGGGGCTTGATCCCAGGACCTTGGGATCATGACCTGAGCCAAAGGCAGACGCTTAACTGACTGAGCCATCCAGGTGCCCCAGAATCAAGCTTTATTAATTAAATAACTAGGTCTCTCCTTGAGGCAGCTGGGAGTAGAAGGACTAGAACAGGCGACCTCTGAAACCTGTTATTTCTCCTTCACTTGCAGGTGACTTTCTAGGTGACAGTGTTACTCATCCGGAAGAATACTATAACTGACACCAATAGGAGAAAGTGAAAAATAGCTGTTATTAAATAATGTACCAACAATAATCCTTACAATTATTTCTGTATGGTGGGAATATATATAGAAATTACTATGTAGAATGACCTCTTATAAAACATGCAACAAAATCCACAGCCACCTTCTCATGAACAACATAAAAAAGCAGGGAGGAATTTTAATTTCAGTTGGTCAGAATGTACTCTGGGAAAGGAGGCAGAATTTACTAATTGCACTATGAGGAGTCTCAAAAGTGCAGTTTTTTTTTTTAAAGATTTTATTTATTTTATTTATTTGAGAAAGAGAGAGAGAGAGCATGAGAGGGGGGAGGGTCAGAGGGAGAAGCCGACTCCCTGCTGAGCAGGGAGCCCAATGCGGGACTCGATCCCAGCACTCCGGGATCATGACCTGAGCCGAAGGCAGTCGCTCAACCAAATGAGCCACCCAGGCGCCCTCAAAAGTGCAGTTCTGAAAGCTGAACATCACTTGTGCTCTCGACCCAGTCCTATCAGAAGAAAAAACATCCTTTCTTTTCCTTATTTTTCTCCATAGTAGAAAGTCCCTCCCCACTCAAAACACATGGATTCTTAGCAGCATTATTCACAAGAGCCAAAAGGAGGAAGCACCCTAAACATCCAACAACAGATGACTATATAAGTAAAGTGTGGTCTATGTATATACAGTGGAACATTATTCAGCCTTAAAAAGAAATGAAATTCTGACACAGGCTACAACATGGATGAAACTTGAGAACATTATGCTCAGTGAAATGAACCAAATGCAAAAGAAAAAATATTGTAGGGTTCCACTTAGGTGAAGTCCCTAGAGTAGCCAAAGTCATAAAGACAGGAAGCGGGAGGATGGTTGCCAGGGCTGCAGGGAGAGGAGAGACCCAGAGGCAGCAGTTCACAGGAGCAGGTAAGGACAGAATGAAGAGCTGGGACCAGGCCTGACGATCTGGAAAAGATGAAGTGAGATTAAGGAACAAGTCATTCCTCATCTGGCTGTGGTCAGCCCTAGGTGGGGCCCCTAAAATATCAGGGGCCAAGAACTGCCTCCGTGCAGCCTTAGGTTAGTTAGAACAATTCTCCAGTGGCCTTAGTACCAGCTTGCTCATGCCAGTCTCCTGTGGGCCACTGACTGTCCTGGCTCAACTTCCATCACATCTGAGCACTGCCTCCTGGGCCTTGCCACTCACTTGCTGGTTTTTTACGTCAGCCAAAGCAGTAACCTGCCATACTTGTAGGTCCTCAAAGGACCTTCTAGAGATGGATTTGGCCTTCAAGGCAGAGGAAGAGTCAGAAACCGATTTGGTAGCAGAAGTGCTGAAGGGAACGCCTGTCAACAGCCTTACCTGGATCCTGCCCGGGACGAGGTTGTCCGAGGTGGTGAATATGAGCTGCTTGGCACTGGATGTCTCCGGGGAAGCCAGGATCACCTTCCCAGTTCCAGCTCCATCTGGGCTGGTCAGGATGAACTGCTGCTTGGGGGATCCGGAGGCGTCCACTGCGGTGACTATCTGGATCTTCTGTCCTGTCTGCTGGTCTGTTACAATCTACAAGACACAACATGGAGGCTGCTCTCACGGAGTATCATGCGACTCGTGTACTTGCAGATGGTGCTCAAAGTGGTGACTGCCCAGTGCCGTCCTGGAGTCAATGCTGGTCCAAGATGCAGTTTCACCAGTGCATGGTGAAATGAGAAAAATAAAACACAACCGTGAGCTTTTCAGAAACCAATTTTCATGGAGCTAATTTTATTTTAGGATGATATCATTCCTACTATTTTAATTAAAATGTCCTTTGGGGCGGTGGTGGGGTACTAGATGAAGGTGGTCAAAAGATACAAACTTCCGGTTTTAAGATAAAAAAAAGTACCGGGGTATGACGTATGGCACAGTGACTGTAGCTAACTGCTGGGTGGTGCATCTGAAGGTTGTTAAGAAGGTAGATCCTAAGAGTTCTCATCACAAGGAATAAGCCATTTTTTTCTTTTTCTTTTGTACCTATATAAGATGATGGATATTAACTAAACTTATAGTGGCCATCATTTCATAATATATATTAAGTGAAGTCATTTAGCTGTACACCTTGAACTTATACAGTGCTGTGTGCTTTTCATATCTCAATAAAATTGGAAAAAGAAAAGTCCTTTCTTTTATGAAATGGAGATAATAATAGTAGATGATAAGTTTAACTTAAAAAAAAAATGCCTTGTCCTAGGCATAATAAAGTCCAGCGAAGTCCTGACCCTGACTCCTCCAGAGACTCCCACCGTTCACCATTCAGGGGGCCAGCTGTCGGAGTCCGCCTCTTTCCGGAGTCCCTGCCTAACTGCATCGGTTACAACTGAAATAGTTGCTACAGCAAGAAGGACTTGTCATTCCTGCTCCTGAAATTCTCTGAAGCTGTTCTACTTTCTGTCCTGCCTTCCTCGAGGCCAAGTGCCCAGCTTTGGAACACTGCCCACCTTCTCCCTGGGGCACCAGCAGGCTCTCACAGCAAACAGGATTTTGGGGGCTGTTGTGGCTGGGCCTTGGATAAGGGGAGAGGTACTACATCTCTAGCTGGAACTCCCTTCCCTCTACCATATTTATGGGCAGGTCTGGCATCCGTGCTACATCTTGACGGATGCTGACTTGTGACACAGCATTCCAAAGTTCAGACAGCAAACTCACAAAGAATCTAGCACAACAACTTTGCCAACTATCCAATATGGAAAATCAGACAATGCTGGTTAGTTCAAAAAAAAAAAAATGACAAAGATCCAATCACTTCATTATGTTTATGGAGTGTCCACTATATGTCAAACTCTGTTCTTTGTACTAGGGATAGGGACATGAACACAATAGAGCTCCTACCTCGTGGAGTTAACCTTATATGGGGGAAACAGACCATGATATTGTAGAGTATCAGTCACGGTAGGTGTCATAAAGAAAACTTAAAAGTAGAGTAAATGGACAAAGCATGTCAAGGGGAAGGAGGCAGCGGGGCTGCTTTAGAAAGAAAGCTCTCTCTGATGGAGGTGATGTTGAGCAAAGACCTGAATGAAGCAAGAGAGGAAGCCATGCAAATACGTGGCAAAGTATGTTATAGGCTGAGGGCACAGCAAGCTCAAGACCAGAAAGAGCAGACTGGGAATAGAAGATGCATGAACAAATCCTTAGCTGATGGTGGCGCATGAATCCCAGCATAGCATCATTTGCAACTGATCAAGGTCAAAAGATCTTGAAGGCTGAAGAACAGATTTAGAGAACGAAAGGAAGTACCTTTCATTGTTACAACCTGTGGCATACACACTCAGAGTCCCCTGGAAAAGTAAAACATGAGACAGAAAACTTTATAAGAAGAATTCTCTTACACTTTCCTACCCAATGCTGAACTGAAAGACTGCAGACAGACTGGGTGACACAAACTTCTCTCAGCTGCCACAGAAGGCACTCCTACCTTAGTTAAAAGGTAACAAGCTGGCCTTTAGAAGGCCCTTATAACGCTGAGATCTGGGAGTAAAATGCCTGACTTCTTTTTCATGTCTCTCAAAACTTATCTACTTCCTAAATTACTTTCCCTGTTAACAAATGAAACAGTCATGTGATTGAGAGGGATCTCCAATCACCAGCTATAACCAAGGCGAGGCTAGTTGAAGTCCTTCACGTGTTCAGAGGTGACACACTCTGCACCTGAGTACACACAGTCACTGGCATGTCACCACCTTTGATGCTATTCCCCAGGCCTCTTGGTCAAGGCATGGCAGGTATGGGGCTGGGGCAGGGGTGGGAGGTAGGAGTAACTGGGTCCAGCTGCTCTTGGTGGCTCTATGTAACATATCCCAAAGCTCAGATTATTCTTTTCTTTTTTCCCCTAAAGATTCAGGCTCACAAAACCTCAGGGTGACCCTCAGGCAAACAAAGGCCTTGCTGACAAATATCAGCAGGCAGATACCTGTTTAATGAGACCAAGGAAACAACAAATTGAGGATGTATCCAGACTTATAAATTTCCTGAGGAGGGGTGGTGAAGATGTGCTGTTGGTAGAATCATGTCCCCCCAAAAGAGATGGTTACCTCCTAACCCCCCAGGGCCTGTGAATGTGACCTTATTTGGAAACAGGACCTTTGCAAGTGTGATCAAGTTAAGATGAGTCCATAATGGAAGAGGGTAGGCCCCAAATCCAGTGACTGGTGTCCTTACTAGCAGGCCTGTGATGACAGAGGCAGAGACTGGAGTGCTGCAGTTGCAGGCAAGGAACCCTGAGGATTTCCGGTCACTACCAGAAGCTAGGAAGGCACAGAAGGATGCTTCCCTAGAACCTTACAGAGAGCATGCCCCTAGCAAATACCTGAATTTGGGTTTCTGGGCTCCAGAATTGCGAGAAAATAAATTTCTGTTGTTTTAAGGCACCAAGTTTGTGGTAATTTGTTATGGCAGCCCTAGGAAACGAAAATAGGCAAACTTTATTTAATCTCTTCACTTGGAACAAATGTTCATACTCTCTGCTTGCAAACATAACAAATAGGGGGAGGGGAAGAACCTAAGGAGGAATGTCTTGTTTTCTCTGTGACTTGTTTTTTTTTTTTTTAAAGAGAGAGAGAGAGAGCAGGGAGGAGGGGCAGAAGGAGAGGGAGAGAGAGAATCTTAAGCAGGCTCCATGTTCAGCACGGAGCCCAACACAGGGCTTGATTCCATGACCCTGAGATCATGACCTGAGCTAAGAACTGGACGTTTAACTGACTGAGCCACCCAGGTGCCCCTCTATGACTCTTAAGGCCTCCCGAGGCTGGCTACATGGTTAGTACTGCTACAACTCTTGTTTTGAAAAGGTACATTTGTTCCAGTGTGACTGATATATTAGGGACTATTCTGTGCATAATATAAATCTTGTGTTTATGCATGACTTCTCCTGAGAAACAGTACACACACACAGAATGACCCCCAGGTGAAGTGAGCGGGGTGGGAATAGCCAGCTCAGTACATGTGGTGTTAAGCTTTCCCTGATTTCAGATCACCCCACTCACAGCAACTCAGCAGCTACAATCCTCCCACATCCCCTCCACAAGCAAGCTTCCGGTCTCTTTCAAGTAAAAGTGCCATATTTATGGTCGTCATTATGTGTTTCTTAACTGTTTAATGTATGTAAAACCGCAATTTAAATAAGATCAAATTCATACCTGCTTTTTAATGTGTCACCAACAAGTTCTGAATATTATGCCACTAACCACACATACCCCCATAAGCCCTGTGGTTTCCACTGCAAAATTTTGCACAGTATGCAAATTTTTAGAACACATATGTCACATTATAGCAGAGCTGACTACATACTCTACTGGCCCAAGGCCCTCTCTACTTCTACCCCAAAAGGACCTCAAATATCTGACTTACTGCCATTCTCCTCCATGTTACCCACTCTCTGTTCTAGCCAAGCTGGGCTCGTCATTCATGTTGTAAAGTAGAGTCTGCAAATGGACAGCCTGAAGGCAAAAAAACAGCCACTGGGTAACTTTTGCTTGACCTCTCAGGGTTTAAAATTTAAAAAACTGGTTGGCACTACCTGAGGATAGAGTATTTACCATAAAAATCAGATTTACAGTTCTTTTGACAAGCTGTCCCCATCCTTGCCCCCAAGTTCCCCTGTGGTTATCAACTGGCTGTGTGTGGTCGCTCCTTTGGATGGGGCACAGGCTCTCTGTTTGGCCCTAATTCCCACCCTGCCCACTTTCTTCACTGCCACCTGGTCCTGTAAACACAGGTTTGTGATCTTGAAATAGGGCTTTGCAGCTAGAGCTGTGAATGGAATGCTCATTCTACTGCTTCCCAACTGGGTCACTGTGTAACAGTTATATGTGCTTTCTGAGCCCGTTTACATATCTTTAAAAAAGAATTATTACGTCTGAAGGCAGTTGGTACGAGCCCCAGAATATAAGAGGACCTCGCTAAAAATATTTCCTGCTCTAAGCTCTCACATACTTGTCTCCTCATTGGGAAGCCTTTTTTACTTTCACCTCACTGAATCTCCCCCTCTGACTTCGGCTCACTCACTCTACTCACTCATTCCTCAAATGCTTACAAAGGGTCTACTCTATGCGGGGCACACTTTGCTAGATTACAGGCATGATGGAGATGGCTCCTGCTCTTGTGAAGCTTCTAAGTTTAGTGGAAAAGTGGCAAAAAAACAAACAGAACAGCCAATGAACAATTTGTGATAAATGTTAGGAGAGAAAAGATCTGGCTAGAGTAGGAGAGAGTAACACAGGCACTTAACTTTTCAGAAAGCGTCAAGGAAGGCTTCTGTGTCAAGGTGGCATTTAACACAGGATTCAAGGCTAAGAAGGGAGTCAGATAAAGGTTTAGGGAAAAGTGTGTTCTAAGCACTGGGAAATATTCTGGCATATGGAAAGCCCTAAGAGGAAGAAACTCTTAGAATGACATCAGGCCTGTGGACAATGAAGAGTGGCCCAGGAGCCTAGGGGGGGAGGTGGGCTGGCCCTAGTAGAAGTCAGGATTTCATTCCAAGTACAACAGGAGCCACTCAGGGGTTTGCCCTCCTAAATCAGGGTCTT